CATCGAAGGTGTTGATTTATGTATATTTTATCTGCTCATTCTGATTCTGTGCGTAAAATCAATAAAAACTTTTCTTTTAGTTTCGAAGATTTCTCGAAAACCTTTCTAGAAACCAAAGTATTTTCAGTTGATTTTTTCAACATTTACTTAGCTAGATAAATTAGAGTATCTTCTGACATTCTGAAGTTAGTTTAATGGATGCTGGTTGACTTATGAAGTTTTTAATTTTTGCTGAAAATAATAAAAAACGGGCTATTTCATTTATTATAGGTTTTCACTCGGTTGTTGCATTTTGTTCTGAAAACTAAAATTGCCATGTGATTTAGCGTGGCCGATAACCTATGTTTTTAATTCATTTCCCACAGTCGCAAACCTAACGCAGAGGAGTGCTACGACCTCAGGAAATGCGTTCATAGCTCTCAAACCATGGGTTTTCAAGTTGTCGCTTAGATCCGGTTTTGTAGGGGACACGTCAGGCTGTATATGCCCCATAGATCAATAGATTCCTACTTGAATTTTGGAACAATCAAGCTATTTTCCCAAAGATTCTCTGGATAAAGGGCTTCGAAACTTTCTCTGAAAATCTGCTTTGCTTGTGGAAAGATAGATACTCTCACGTTTTGTCTATCGAATGATGAAGACCGCAAGTCTCTATCTTTATTTGATGCTGAGTTATTAAAAAAATAGCCACTGCTCTTGTATTTTGGCTCCGATAGTAGTTTGTGTGGAGCAACTGAGGAGAAGGGCGGTATTTTCTTTAATCTTTCCCTCTCCGTCTCTTCCGATCTTTCGAATTGGCATATTGTTCGAAATAAACTGAAAAAACAGATGGTCACATCTCTTTGCTATTTCTGCTGTTGCATCTTTTGCCGTCTACTGTAAATACATTCCTGCCATTATAGTTGTTATTGTGTGCACATAACCAAGCACGGAAAAATTCGTTAAGCGGGCGCTTGCATCTAGATTAAGAAAAGGTACAACTTGAACTAGCTACACTGAAATACATCAAAATTCAATATACGTTCAGCTAGGCTGAATCTGGCTTCAACTTGGCACTAGATGCTATCGATTAATCGTACAATTCATCGCTCGGTTAAATGGCTAATACAGCAACTATTGCAGGTAGTACACGATTTCAACCAGTATGCAGCTAGATTAATGTACTTTTTTTGTTCAAAGCTGTAAAATGTCATGAAAATTTCTTTTGTCAAGAAATAGAAATTATGTCTTTCACACATATCATTAGTCATATGCTGATTGACCGATCAGGCAAGCGAGTATGGTCGTCAAATCCATGACTGTAACAGTGATTCGAAGGCTGACTGTTTCTCACACAACGTTGATTGAACTCATTCGCGAATAATCGTATGAAAGAATCAATAAAATTGTTCTGTCATTTTTGACAGTCAGCTCTCCTGACAAGGACATTTCTTTCTTTTTTCGGTTTCTTTACTGTCGTGAAATGTGATGAAGTTTATATTTACAGAAGGAAAAGAAAATTTCAAACAAACTTCGAATCAATTTACTGTGCATTATTATATTGAGCTATGCTTCGGATAACACATTCAAGATATTTGTGTTTCTTAGTAACAGAAATCACAATATATTTCTTAATGTCTTCGCTATAATGTTAGTTTTAACTCACATAAGTTGCTCTAAATAAAGTATCGAAAAGGTATCAAATAATATTGAATTTAATAATAATCAGGCGATTTCGCACTGATTCTTCAATTCTTTATCACCGAATCACAACATCGTCATGAGGTTATATCATCTTAAAGGAATAGGCATTTTTTTAAAATTAAAACATCGAAAAGTCAAAAAATTGGTCAAGTAAATGGTTCACTAATTTATTTTCTATTAACTCATCAGTCATTTTAATTTTACAACAGAAACTTCATGCTTGAAAAGAGAGTTCTCTTTCTTCCGATACATTATTTTTAGAATCATATTTTGACGAGATTATTATTAACATATACGAAAATCTATAATGAATTCTTCTTCATCCATATTATCTCGAACTATTAAAGACGTTAACTAGTGCACTGTTTGAATAATCCCACAGCCCCGATGGAAGGTGACTAGTTAAGCTAATTTAAGAGAGACAGGAATAAACTCCAGTACCACTTATCTTGGCTTAGTCAACTTTAACTAATCAACTGAACGCATTACTACTAGATGCTAAATTTAATCAATTAAGACATTGAAATCTCATCTAAATGGTGTTGAAGAATTTCAGAGATTTCTATTGCTAGAGTGCAGAAGAATTTCATACTACTACCATCACTTTTCACTGGACGTTTTTTATTTTAAAAATCATGACAAAGTTTTCTTTTTAAATTTACCTGTGCACACTATACTATGTACACTGCAAAATCGTATTTGAAGTGAATATATTAATTGACTACCCGATGCAAAAGGACAATATTTCGTTTTTAAAAGTGGATTATTGACGCTTGTCGTTTAAAAATAATATCTCTTTTTTCATCCGGTTGGTGTCTACTGATCTAATATATTTTTTGTAGACTAGAATTTGCTCTTTCTAGTGAAATAAGAAATAAGTGTGTAGGATGTTTCTGGACTGAGACATGAAGTAAACCTAAAAAAGGGAAAAAGGTTTTACTTCACTCATTATTTGATCATATGCTTAGTTCAGTATCAAAAAAACTTCGAGTTTCGGATAGGACACATTAACTGACTTTGAAAAAAGTTTCTGAATTCTAAAATTAGCAGAAACTCTCAGACAGACACTAAAAAAAACAAGTGGCTGTAGAACTTTGACTAAATCCAAAAATATTACAATCTACACGAAACCTCGTATTTTTGAAAAACTGACCTTTTATTTGACACTTTTTATTGCGCTTTTCTTAAGAAAAAACCTCCTTGTTTTGTGAAAATCAATTTATCCTCTTATAAACTTTTTCACTGGCTTCTAAAAAGAATGCAGGAAAATGTAATGCAAATTGTCTTGTTCAAAATAATTAGAAAAGCTTCCGCGAGCGCGTAAAGACATAGAATTGAAGATGGATAAACTGGCGGAATTTTAGAGATCAAGATAATCTGTTCTTTTTATGTTTAACCTAGTTTTCACAAAGAATAATTTTACGCCATTCAGTGATCTCAGTTAAACAATCTATATTTCCTGCTCGATATCCACCATGGTAACCATCAAGACACCAACTTAGTCGTTTGTCACCATCACTTTTCTCTATATCGCAGCGGTATTGCCGAATTTTTGATGTTGGTGAAAATCCAAATGATCTGTTCGGTGTTAGGTACCACCAGACTCCATCATGTTCAGCTGGTTGATTACGTGGAGTATGTAGAGCTAGTACTTCCGAAGGGCCAATAGCAGCAACGGTCAAAACATTCGCAGATTTTGCGTCTATCGCTCCAACAATAATTCGTTTATTCGTGCAATAATTAGCTATATCTCGCAGTTCTCTGGCAGTTGTCTGATGCAAGGAAGTTGTTTCATAAACAATATGCCAGTTCGAGAGATCGGAGAGCGAAAGATTTAAGAAAATACCGCCCTTCTCATTTGTTCCACGCAAACTAGTTGCAATTTTTCGTGTGCTCAGGACTGTTGATTTATTCGTACCCACTTCAATGACATTTGCCCAATCGATTGTCTGGATCCGTAACGTTATTGTGCTCGACTGCATTTTAGCCTTCAGTTGTTTTAAGTGCTCTGTCCATCGTTTTAGTTCTAATTCGGTGTAATCTCCGCTTTCTTTTCCAGAACAAAGTTCACCTGAGATAATGGCGAATTCACGTTTTCCTTCGTACCTCTTATCATTTATTAGTTTTACGGCCTTTTCACGCGCTTGTTCGGCGGCTATTTTCACCTTTTCGATTGTTTCGTTTTCCCATTTATCAATCCCTTCCATCACGTCGCTTTTATCGTTAGACAAGGATGCAGCGAAATAGTTTTCAAAAATCAGATCATGTTCGTAGGTGACTTTCTCCATATCATCAGTTAATTTTCTTCGATGTTGAGCAAAATCTGTCTTACAATAGAGAATTTTACAACCAGGACAGATATGCGAACCCACCGCTTTTTGACATATCTCACACTTCTTAGCTACTGATGACGCCATTACCTGCCTGTACGAATACTTTATCTTGCTTTGAATTGGTTTTACCGTGAAGAAAGAATACGATATTGTGTTTATGATTGTGTGTGCTCCGACAGCCTCTTTTTTTATTTAGTTTTGTTTCATTTTTAAAAGATAATTATATGTTGATTGAAAACGATAGAGTTTCACAAACAAGAACACAAATTAAATGTAAAGGAATCCATATGATCATTGTCAAAGCGTATAGCGATGTGTGAAGCTTTGCAAAATCATTGTCTGTTGAAAGAAAATGTTCGAAATATTCTTTAACACGGGATCAGATTTGCGCTTAATTGTTCTCAATGAAAGCCTCTTGTTACTAGACCTAAAAGTAAAGACAAACACACCTTTCATC